ATTTACAGGCAGTCCCCGGGTTACGTACAAGATAGGGACTGTAGGTTTGTTCTTAAGTTGAATCTGTATGTAAGTCGGAACTGGTGTCCAGACTGATCAGTTTCAGCAGCGGCTGAATCTGGACGCCAGTTCCGACTTACATACAGATTCAACTTAAGAACAAACCTACAGTCCCTATCTTGTACGTAACCCGGGGACTGCCTGTATATAACTAATCTCTTTTGAGACTTAGCCTAAATACATCACACATATTAACTAAATCTCTGCTTTCCATTCCATAGCTAATAGTTTGTACTTTCATGTGTATTAGGGCTAGATCTCAAGCCTAATGAAAGATGCTGCTCATTTGATGGAGATGCGGACAGAATTGTTTATTACTATAATGATACTGCTGGCCATTTTCATCTTCTGGATGGAGATAAAATAGCAACTTTAATTAGCACGTTCATCAAAGAACTTCTTATCAAGGTAACTCCACTTATACAGAAGAAGGTTTTGCTTTGGGCCTTCCTGTAAAATGTACACTTCCTCCAGTGAAGGAGAGGTTGTCATGACTGCACATACTCATTCAGGTGCTCTTTCATAACTGCTCACTGATGAAAAATCACATCTTGAAAAGAAGACCTCTTGGTATATGCCAGTTGCTGTGGCAAAAGCAGTGACCTAATTTTTAGAGGACAAGAGCAATGGCTTTAAAGTCAAGCTGAAACTAAATAACTTAGCTTGACCATGGTGCCTTGGCTAGGAACTGAAAAAAGTTACCCTAATTTCTAATTTCACTTTACGGCTGACAGGGTAAGGTGTCTTCCTGCCTCTTCTCTTCTCTTCATGCTTTTATCTCCATTTTGACCTGAGTTATGCTTAAGGGCTCAATGCTGCACTCCACTTCCCCTGAAAAATTCCCATAAACCTAGTTTGTATTTGATTTGCCTCAGAAAGCATTCTTGTGTTCTTACTTATTCTGTAAGGTGCTGCCTGGACGAACCTGACACATAAAATTGCACTGACCACTGTGGGTAAAAAGAGACGTTCAGTCTCTGTGCTCTTGCTGCCACTTCCTCTGAGACTGTACTGTCAAGGCACATTCCAGCTGGTTTCATTTTTCTCTGGGTATCAACTCATTTTTCCTGGGGCCATAGACACAGTATGCAGTGCTGACCACTTTTGACTAAAACTGACCTTTGCCAGGTTTACAGTAGTGACTTAATGTAAAAAAGTTCTGTGTCTTATGAGCCACGACCTTCTTCAGATTTTCAAAGGTGTCAGTTCTGGAAGTACAGCAGGAGTGAAGCTACTATTAGGGATGTGAAATCCCATTTTATCAGTTAAATGGGGTCCTACAGCCGGCCCCTTCCCCACGGTGGCGGCAAATCTGGCTGGGCTTGGAACATCCCCCCTGTTCCCCACCAAGCCCACTGGGTAGCTGGTAAGGTTAACTGTTGATATTCCTAGCTTCTATATGTTGAAAGTCTTTCACCTTGTTAAATATTCTGTTCTCAACTTAACTTAATCTTAGCTTAGGTCTTACTTTATACTGTGTCTTTCTAAAGATTTATATGTTTGGCATTAAGCATTTTACTTTTTTGTCTTCTCAGATAGGACAATCTCTAAAGATGGCAGTGGTACAAACAGCATATGCTAATGGGAGTTCTACACGTTATCTTGAGGAAACCATGAAGGTATCAAGTAATTTTTTTTCTATCTCCTCCGCAGTTGCTTCCTACCTTTAAAAAACGCCATAAAGGTACTACATTGAGGGACATCAGAGACATAAGATGGAATTAACCAAGTTTGCTTTAAATTCTTGTGGTAAATGAGATTTTTATACTTACCCATAATCTCTTAGCCTCTCTTTAAGGAGGATGTAGAAATGAGAAAGGTATGTACCCAGCAGGTCTGCCATGAGAATATAACCTCTGTTAATCCCTTAAGCTACAAAAAACTGTATATTAAATGCTCATCATCCATCATGGCCTGTAGTTTCCTGACACTTAATCTTGCAGCTACATGGTAAAAGTTTGACCCTGTGATCCTATTCAGGATGTTGATTTCATGCCACTTCGTCTGTGTTTCTCTTGTATCTCTGGATTATAGGTGCCTGTTCACTGTACCAAGACAGGAGTAAAGCATTTGCATCACAAGGCCCAAGAATTTGACATTGGAGTTTACTTTGAGGCAAACGGACATGGCACAGTAAGTACCTGCACAGATATTTGCATGTAGGTCATGATAGGGTTATTTGAGTTTTAAAGCCAGTGTGTGTAAAACTTTGCCACCATATTATCTTTAGTATAAGCAGCTTCATAAGAAATCTGTCTTGGGACTCCTTCCCCCTATCCTTGTCCCCAAGTTTTGCTAATTTCCTTCACAGTCCTACCCTCCTCTTTCTCTTCCCTGCCACCAACTATTGAGTATTCTAAATGTGGGAGTTCAAGGAAGTGAAACTCTGACAACTTATTTGGTTTAGTTGGCACAACAGAAAAAAGTGAGACCATCTTTTATCTGTTGTCTTCATTGTTGATGACATATGACACACATTCTATGTAGCATACTTGTTTCTAGGTATTATTTACTAACGCTGCTGAAGAGAAAATAAGACATATGGCAAAAGAAGAAAAAGACAACCAAAAAAGAGAAGCTGCAAAGAGGCTTGAAAATACCATTGACCTGATTAATCAAGTAAGAGAGAAACTGTACAAATCAGGTACTTTGATTCTGATTCGGGGGAGCTAACAGTATGACGAGTGACTGCTAAATTGCAAGATTGGGGGAGTGTATAGAAAATCTTTTGTGGAGGACAGTACAGTGTGCTAAAACAGGCATAGGGAAGGAGATGGTCTATTTTAAACATCCTGCCAGGCTGGGCAGACAGCCATTGGCTTTCATTTTTCTCTTCTAAAATCCTTCTCCCCACCCTTGCATAACTAAAAGAAGACCTGTTGAATAGCAACTGTTTCACTTTGAAAGATGTCAGAATTTCCACATATAGAGAGGCAAAACACTTCCATTTGGTCTGGCTGCCTGTGCTTCTATAGGTTGAACATCTCTAGTCCAGCACTATTTGGGCCTGATGGGTGCCAAACCAGAGAATTTGCCAAACCACAGGAGATCAGTATTGTCCAGCAGCAATACCAACACTTCCACTGCTTGCTGGGCTCCAAGAAGATACTTCAGGGTAAATTAGAGCACAGAACACTGAGCCAGGACTGGTGGCTGTAAACACATTTTATGGGACTGTGGGAAAGTTAGCCACACCCATGACTAGTGGACATCTGGCTAACTAAGATCGTGCTGGGCCATGGATGTTGCTGGACCAGAGTGCCAGACTAGAGAAGCTTTTCTCTAGCTACTGAACAAGGGGATTGGATGGCTTGAGGAACTGTAGAATGACAACTCAAACTCCACATCTCATTACTAGTTTGAATCAATCAAAAAAAAAATAACCAAAAGTAATTTTTGTCTGAAGGTTGCTCACAGGCCTTTTAAGAGAGATGGTGGAATGTAGAGGCCATTGTGTCCATATGGACACTGGTGGGTTTTTGGAAGTCCTAACCCAGAGGCTAAGGATTGAGTAGGAATACGGTGAGATTATCTCACTTACTGGGGTTATTCCTTTAATGCCCAATTTTGCCTTATCCTTTACAGGCCACCTTTCAAGTGACACTATCATGCCAGAGTAAGTGTCGGGGTAATAAGTCACCTGTCCTCTCAGAATCTGACCTCCCATTTATTGTGTTTGGTCTTTACTTGAATGTTAGTTTTATCGAAGATGAAGTCTAGTAGTAAAGTACACATTGTTCTTTTTAGTAAGTTCTTCTCTTTCTGCCACTGCCCTGCCAAGGAAAATCAAGCTTATGATGAGTCACCTAGTAATATTCCTGAATTTTCATTGACTCTTTAGATTTAAGATTTGTTCTAGTGAACTCAACAATATACCCTTGATTTTTCTAATTGTCATTGACAGGGCTTGACAAACTATTGAATCTACTTGCCCATGGCAAGTAGATTTCAGCCCAGCGCCCCGTTTACTGGCGGCGTGCTCATGCGCAATGTGGCTCTTGCGCATGTGCAGCATGGGGCTGGCGAGTGGCTTTTGTCACCGTTTGTCAAGCCCTGGTCATTGACTCCTATTCTTCTCTTATTCATAGACCGTGGGTGATGCCATCTCAGACATGCTAGTGATTGAAGCAATTTTGGCTCTAAAAGGTCTGACAGTGCAGCAGTGGGATGCCATTTATGCAGATCTTCCCAATCGACAGCTCAAAGTTAAGGTTAGTGCTACAATAATGCTGGCCAGGATTGAGTGGTCAGTGTCTGTCTGTCTGTCATTTTTCTATTTGCCAGCCTTTCCTTCTGCTGTGCCATATTGTGATATTTTTTTACTGTCATTCAAACCAGGTAGGGAAAATGACAAAAAGAGCAGGGAAAACTTCTCTTACCACAGCAGCAAATCAGATTGATTGATTAAAAAGACAAATCAAAGGCCCACCTAGAAATTTGTTAGAAGGGAAACTTTACATTTTGTTTGGTCCTGCCATTAGGTTGCAGACAGACGAGTCATTGACACAACAGATGCCGAGAGACGTGCAGTTACACCTTCAGGACTACAAGAAAAAATTGATGAACTGGTAAAGACGTACAGACTGTCACGAGCTTTTGTCCGCCCATCAGGAACAGAAGATGTAGTTCGAGTATATGCTGAAGCAGATACGCAGGTCAGAGCAGAAACAATTTGAACATTACAGTAGTTGTATTGCTTATGCAATGAAGCCTTCTTTAAGGTGATACCACAAGGAGTAGTGTGGTGGGAGTGGGAGGAGGGAACCAATATTGAGGAGAGGCTTCAGAATATGTGAAGAAAAGGGTAGGTTAGGATCTGATAGGTAGAATGAAGCCATTTTTAGGGTTGATATTTTTCTCTTGGATTATTTGTAAGCCCCTCTTGAGAGCCTGCAGAGAGAAGCCTAGGCTTGACCATGACAGACTAACTTGACTATTAAAACCTGGCTGCAATAGATGTTAAATGCACGCTAAGTGATGTTTAAAGAAAATGTCATCTCCAGTGCTTTTTTGTTTTTTTTAAAAAGGTGCCAGTACTAGGATTGTTAGATGTCCAGCAAAAAAATAGTTGACCAAAAAAAAGAGCTGGGGCTGAAATGCGGCTGCGGCCCCTTTAATTGCCGTGTGTCCCAAGTGGGCTTCTGTCCAGTGAGGCGTGAGTGCTCCTAGGGCCAGCTGGCAGAAAGTGGCGAGTGTTCCCAAAAAAAGGTGACAGTACACCATACCAGTGCGTACCATCACAAAAAAAGCACTAGTCATCCCTTACTCAAGTGCCTAGAGGCTCAAATCCTGCCCAGATAGGAAGCCCTCAGACATTTGCTATCTCATGGCTCTTGGTGGCATAGGTAAAACAAAACTAGCGATTGTGATCTGGCCATGGAACGTGAACTTGCCCTAGGAGTGGCTTTTTCAGATGAGAAGTGTTGTCTTTGGAAAGCTTGGATTGTAATAATTAAATTTTAAGGCTGTTTTAATTCCAGGTATTTTTAGTAAAAGTTATGGACAGGCCATGGGTAATAAATGGAAACTCACCTCACAGTATATACCCTGGACTGAATTTGGGTGCACGGGCGGGGAGTTTTGGGGAACACTGTGGGTGTACCAGGACAGGGGCCAGCAGGTGCACAGCCTGGGACTGATGCTGTGGGGGAAGGGAAGAGTAGGCATAGTGGCCCAAGACTGGAGGTCCCAAAAATTACAAAATCCATGATTTCTGTGACATTCACAACCTTAAGTATATTGCTGCTGGATAACATTTACTAACATATGAACCCCAAGTGTACTGCCCTCTAGGAGCAGTGTGTCAAAAAAACTGAACTCCCCCAAAACCATCAATGTTAACCATCAAAAGAAAAATACTTACAACATTGTATAACAATTTTTTTTAACCTCCTATAGGAGAATGCAGATTCCCTTGCATATGAAGTAAGCCTTGCTGTTTACCATCTAGCTGGTGGAATAGGAGAACCACCCCAGCCTGTATTTTGAAGGACACAGCAGTGGTCACACTATGTAAACCTGGTTTCTTTGTTGATTTCTACTTGATTTATTAAACCACCTAGGTTTTTTTTTTTTTTTAACAGGAATATTTTTGTACCTTATCCTTAACTGGACACCTGTTTCTCAGAAAATTGGGAGGGTTTTTAGCGAATGTCTCTAACTTCTCAATCTGGCTTGGAGCTTTTGCCATGTAAATGAATTCAATTCTAATGTGCTTATCTCTATGCTAGAAACTTACTGTATTGCTTGGGATAGCAGAACACACCAGGACATCTGTTGTGAAGCAGATATTTTTTTTTCCCCCTTGCACCTAAAGCAATGGTTCTCAAATTGTTGTCCACAGAGTACTAATGCTTCGTGGCTGCCTTGTAGGTGGTCTGTGGTTCGAGGTTCAGGGCCCCTGCAGTGGGGAGCCTGCACTAGCGTTTCAGCCATTTCTTCCTGCTGGGAGAGAGAGGCCCCAAGCTTCACTGCTGGATCCAGGAATAGCAGCACACAGATGGGCTGCCAAAATGACTGCCAGTGGGATGCAGGGGCAGGCACTGAAAAGCTAATGAGCTCCCTATTCTCCTTATGCCCTGACCTCAGGAGCAGTGATGGCAGCAATGTTTGAGTTAGATTTGATCAGCCTCGAACAAAACTAGCTCAGCTAACTGAAGCCCCAGCAGCCCAGGCATTTCCCACACTACCTAACTCTTTACTAGTAAAGACAAGCACCTCTTTACTCAGCATAAGCATAGCTCCCTGGCTCAGTTCCCCCTCCCCCCAGCTCCATATCTCCCCCGTTTTCAACTCCCGGTCAGCAAAGCTGTATCAGTGTCATTCTTTCTCTCTTAAGTATCACTGCCTGGGAAAGTGAACTACATCTAGTAGGTGTGTGGATTACACTAGACCAGTGCCAGTTCAACCATTGCTCAGTAAAAGTGTCAGAGAAATTGAGAACACAAAGATAAACTGGAAACAAACTGAAAAATGTGCACCTTGTATTTTGTAGTTTCTTTTTAAAGACAAAACACCAACAAAACACAGATACTGTAAATATTAGGCACCATAATCAATATGAGCCAACAATATTTAAACTTGATTCAGGCCACGTCCAGAACTGGTCTCTTATTTACAAATATTTAAATTAAATATAACCTGAATGTTCATTACATACAGAGTAAGAAAAGAAATCTATACAACTCTGAAAGATACAGCATTTCATTTAAACAATTACATTACATTTAAGCTGATAATGTCAATTATAGCTCATGTTTTGATGACACCTTCCAGAAAATCCTTCTCAACCATCTCTTCAATTTTTTGCCTTGCTTTGCTGGAGAATGCTTTTTGGTTCTCCATTTTTAAGTCCTTATTGGGGAAAGCATTAGGGTAAAGGACAGGACTCCCTGAGTGTCCAACACATCTGCTTGTGATTTTGCTGTTAAAAACCTGGCTGAGTACATTGAAGAAAGGGAGAAGCTGCTCAATGTTGCGGACAGTATAGATGGTTAACAGCAAATGACCTGGTTCCCAACTTAGTGTTTTTCCTGAGCTGTCCTCCTCTGGGTTTTTCTGAAAAAAAAAAAAAAAAGATAAATATGAAATAGTACAGAACAAATCCCAAAAGCAGAATACATAGGACAAGCAGAAAATACAAGATATTCAAACACTACAGTACACTGCTATCAATCAGCAAAACAGTTGTTAAATGCTGCCCTGTCTGCTCGGAACAATCATATTCTACTAAAGAACACTGATGCCAGAGAACAAGTCTGCTTATCTCAGCCTGTTGGCAATATTACTGAAGGCACAAAGCAAAGGCATTACAATAAAAATGTTTAATTTCTATTGGAGATCAACAGTCCTGATATTTCAGGAGATCAGCTATGCACAGACATTTATTTCTATAATGTTTGCTACCATATATTTGACATGCAGAGTCCAAACAGACCTCATTTCTCACAGAACATGAAAGTTACATTACTTACCTGACATGCATGTATCTTAGAATACACATTCTATATAGAAATACATGCATGCACCCTTTAAACTTTTGGCTTAAGACTGCTGCCTTTAGTCCATGGGGTTCCAGAAATTTCTCCTGCCAAGTAGTGTGCAAAGCACATTTATATAATCGGAGGGTACGTCTAAACTACATGCCTCTGTCGTCAGAGGCATGTAGATTTGTTGTTTTGGCAAAGGCAAATGAAGCCGCGATTTAAATGATCGCGGCTTCATTTACATTTACATGGCTGCCGCGCTGAGCCGACAAACAGCTGATCAGCTGTTTGTCGGCTCAGCGCGGCAGCCATGTAAATGTAAATGAAGCCGCGATCATTTAAATCGCGGCTTCATTTGCCTTTGCCAAAACAACAAATCTACATGCCTCTGACGACAGAGGCATGTAGTTTAGACGTACCCTCCGATTATATAAATGTGCTTTGCACACTACTTGGCAGGAGAAATTTCTGGAACCCCATGGACTAAAGGCAGCAGTCTTAAGCCAAAAGTTTAAAGGGTGCATGCATGTATTTCTATATAGAACACTCATTTTGTGTCTTCTACAGCATTAATCATTGTAAAATCTACTATGAATGACACTGTAATCTTTAACCATCAATACCCTTATTGCCCTAACTTAGAAAAAGACCATGACTATGCCAACACTTCAGAGGATGTGGCTGTACACAGTTCTATGTAGAACAGTATAGTATTTTGACAGAGTTTCTTCTACCACAAAGCAGATGTATCCAGCTATGCTGTAGCAGTAGTTTAGTTTATACTTATTCTTCAGAGGGTGGCAGAAAGGAAGAGAAGCATCGTACCAATGAGTCATGTCTTGCAGTGTCTCTAATCTGTGCTTCCCCTCCCACTGTGACTATAATACATTTAAAATATCAAACACCATGGGACCTGAGCAGATAGCATGTGAGAAGCCCCTAAAGTCAGGGGATGTGAAAATCAGAAGAGGATGAATAGATGATGTGGCAAGAGACTTACTTACAATGTATTAATATTTCAGCCTTTGGGTAATCAGTTATTCAAAATATTATATTCTATGAAGAACTATTTATCCTTTAAATAACAGTAAGCATCTTTTGGAAACTGAAGACCTATGGAGACCTCTCCATTATAGAAAACAATCCTCAAAATGCAGGACAATATTCTGTTTAGTATTTTTCTTCAGCAGTGAAGCTGTATTGTTCTTTCTTGTCTAATATGATTTCAAACTGCTTCACTTATTTGGTAAAATAGTTTAAGTAAAAACTGGCTGTGAAGCAAGTCAGAGCAAGAAGGATCCAGAATTCTAATACAGAATGAGTTGCTGACCCCTAACTTTTCCAAAAAATTACTGTTTTGGCCAAACCATGACACATCTCATTCAGTGCAGCTGGAGTAATAGGTTTAAAATTTAAATTACTGATAAAAAACATGCTTTTTCACAGCATTCATTAGCATTGTATTCAGAAAGAAAGGGCATTTCCAATGTTGATTTTGAGTGTATTGTCTCAAGGTGGACATTATATCTCAGATTGTTCCAAAAATAATCATCTCTTACTCATTAGGAACATTATTAATAGAGTAATGCTGGTTGTGATCAACAAAAGTGCATCTATGCAAATTACACAAATTTATCTGCATGTGATCAATGAAGTATAAATGCATCTATGCCATTGATACAGCGTTTCTTCACTCTGACATAAAAACAAACAACACTAATTCGTCTGACAGGTATTTTGACACAGACTAGAATATGGATGAGGTGCTTGGTTTCTGATGTGTGCTAGAAGTAATTTTGTTTATTAAATCCTCTTATTGTTGTATTCCTTCTGCAATAAATGTATTTCTTAAGCCCCCTTTTACATAGAGAAACTGGCTTAACAAAAATACGCTTTATAATAAAGACATCAGACTCTTTTTCTTTCTTCATTCAAATATCCTTACTCTGTCCTCTGAAGAGAGTTATCCCCTATTGAAATCCAGATACCACCCATGGCTGTCAGCATCAGGTGGTGATAAATACGTTTTTGTTTTGCAACTCAAGCATCAAAGGCTACCCTCACCTGATGCTTGGCCATCTCCACTCCCTCCAAAATCATCATTTTAAAGTCCTCCTGCTTGTCCTGTGGAAGGAAAGAGGAGAACTTTCAGACTGGGTTGCATAAATTAAAATAATACTTAGCCATGAAGGCTTTGTAGCTGGCCATTTGGGTGTTGAGTTTTACCAGGAGAAATTTTCTCTCAAGAGAGCCCATTGTCTTAAATCATAACTTGGAGATATCAAACTGTGGAATTAGTGTGTGGAGAAGCAAGCTAATGACAGAAAGAAATTCCAGTAAATTTTTCTATTTCTTGTCATAATGCTGACTGTGGCTTGGAACATACCTCCTGCAGCCAACAGTGTTTGAGGAACATCAAACTGCATGAATATAGGTATAAGTGAAGGAATCCTGAAGCTGAAGTAAGCTCAAGTTACACATCCTGCTGATAATTATATATTACAAGAGAAAAAATACTACTATATTCATCAGTATTCTTCCACTGCAACTATAAAAAACAATGGACTGAAAGGTAGAATTTATTATCTCACTCCCATTTGTATCACCCTTGTATTCTCAGTTTGTGGTTCACAATTTGTAACTGCTGCCTTGACTAGAGGATTCTAGAAGTTTCTGGAAACATTGTAAATTTTTGAAACACACCATGAAAGCTAACAATTTTAAAAATGTGGATTCAACATCAGTATCTATCATCAGAGAATTAATATTAATAACCAGTTGAGACTTTTGGAAAGCATCATGTACATAAGTGATGTGGACTACTAGACTAGACCTTCAAATATCATGCAAGGAATATAGAGTATTTAACAATTCATATAATCTTATCAATGTTGCACTGTGGGAAGAGGAGCTTATGTATGGAGAGTCATTTTCCTGGCTCTCTGACATCATGTTGAAGAATTTTGACTTGCACCACATATTTTGCTTGAAAATCCTGTTGGTTTTAAGCCTTTGGTTTAACAGTACATGCATGCCTACAACACTAAATTATCCCACACATTTTCATACAGCAAATAACTACAGTAATAAGTTTGTTTCCCTTACGGGCCAGTTCAGTGGAAAGTACATTTTCCTAGGGTGGCTAAATACAGTATGCCAGCACATTTCATCACTCGGGATGTAATGATATTCATATGGACCTTAAAGAATAAAATCAAAGCTAGCATCCCTGACAAACTTTTGAAGTGCCCCTTCCATTTCTCTTTTATTCTCAGTTGCATCTCCAAATTTTTTCAAAGCTAGTGCCTACTGTTTTTCTCATTCCATGGTATCAGTGCGAGCTTTCTACAAGAAAGGCAAGGATTTTGTCTTCTGTTCATTCCCTCACTTTCCAGCCAGCAAGAGATGCAACATCACAGGTAGTTCTCTAGCTCGTTCTGCTATTTGTGTTTTATAAGTGTTAGTGGAAATAATTCCAATGGAAGGGCAATGGTGCAATTGATGGGAGATGGAGGACAAGTCCCCCAAATTTTTCAGTTCCACTGGTATTATCTGCCCACCTTCACCTACTGGTATAATGAAAGAATGGCAAAACTGAAGGAGCTCCTTTCCTTTTCAGCTATGCTCCCTCTTCCCAGTCCTCTCAGTTCTTCCTCTTAGAGTTGCTGTCGTTCTTGTTCTCTGCCTCCCTCTCTCAGGTCAGCAAGGGAACAAGTATCAGCTGTTTACTTGTTTATCCTGGTCATATCTCTAGTTCAATAATTCTACTTCTGCTGAAACATTTTACTCTGTCTGAAGACTTTAACCTGGCTTTTCTTGACTTCAGGTGTTAAACATGCCTTACAAAGCTAGAAACCTAGCCTTTCATAGTTTTCCCACTTTTTAGACAACATTATTTTTAATAGAATGTTATTTTAAAAAAAACATGTAATAGAATCAACTAATTGGTCTCTAAATATTTATGAACATCTTCCAGGAGCAGAAACACTTTCCTATTTTAATAGTTAATCATACAATTGTCCATAAATAACAGTCACTACTAGAAAATGGTTGATTTTTATATTAAAATATATTTAAGGTTTGTAGGATACAGTATTGCACTTTTTATTGTTTTTTAATTAATGACAAAAGATGGAACTGGCTATGTCATAACTAATGAACAAAGTGTATTTCAAATAATCATATGAGAGACACTGAGATTTTCACTCAAATATAGGCACAACAGCACACTTCGCAGTGCCCCTTTAAGT